CGATAAGATGGAATATTGACTGCTAGGAGTGCGCGCTCACGATGGAAATAGGGAGTGACTTGCTTGATTCCTAAGACCACAAGTGCTGGTCTCTATGGCTGCAGCATGGTCTAGGATGAAACCGACCAAAAGTCAGACAGGACTCTAGCATTTAGAATATGAGCTGGCTCGCAAATTCCGACGTTCCGCAGTCTATGGATAGTCAAGTTGCCGTGATGGCCTTATTGGACAAAATGACCGGAATGGAAGAAACCCCTTGTCTGGCTGTTAAACTAGTGGGGTTTGGTTGTCTCGGTCGACATCTAGTTTGGGGGCATCCAGATGCATGAATATAACTCCGGCTATGAGGAATTGTTTGAAAAGATGTTCCCTTGAGATTGAAGCTCCAATCAGAAAGAGTCCTCGTGGAGACACCAGTAAGTAGTATGTTGTTATTTACAAAGACAAGGGAGACTGGAATGTCCATTTCTGGCTTATTGGCCATTGTCAGCCAGTCATGCCCAACCTCGAAGTGTGGTACACCCGAGGCTCGAACTCGCGACCCATTTGCTAGAAGTCCACGCCTCTAACCACTGGGCCACGAGCCCGTTGCCTTGTCGGTTTCGATCGGGAATATACAATGAAAGGGGCGAGCTCACCGATCGTTTTTACGGAACTCACTCGTTCCGTTGTGCCTTACGGGCTCTCACTCGGGCCCAACCAGCAGCCACACAGCGGCGCATGATATAGGCAGTGTGTTATTACCGACAAAGACAAGGGAGACTGGAATGGCCATTTCTGGCTTATTAGCCGTCGTCAGACAGACAGACCAGTAAGTATGGTTAGAAGAAATGAGTTGGCAGACGATACTACCTTTTGACTCGGACACGGTTGAAATGCCACCACTGTCATATCGTTGTTTAAGCCACGTGACAACCGTGCATGTGCGACAGCAGACGTTAGTCACCGTGACACCACTGTTGCTAAAATACCGGCAGTGATACCTCTGAATCGATTAAACCTGTACAGCTACGTTCGAGTGGGAAAGTCGCTTTGGTTTCCGACTGCGGTGTTGCTGAGTGGATAACTCGCGCTAAAACATGCTTCAGCGGCAGAAGACCGACAATTAAGGAGCTTAACACCGACATAAAAAGTGCAAAGTTCCCCTTAGGGGGAGTACGGACGCACCCACGAAGTAATAAGTCGCGTAGGTCGAGAGGCACTGCACAGGAAGTAAGGCCAACCAATAAAAATACTATAGTTTTGGATTGCATTTTGTCAAGCACAACACACAAGCGACATTTCAGGGGATACTGAAAATTTAGCGCGAGGTGAAAGGAGCCGTCATGTCTGGAAGTACGTACAGGTTAATTAAATGTGCAATAATTGCATAAACGTTCCTGCCCCTCGGCTGCACTAAAATGATCCCCCAGTGGAAGACCATGCTCTTCTGCTCGGTGCTATCGCCGGTACTCGCAATTAACAGAAGTGGTCCTCAACGTTGGTATGTTTGGTAGTTTTCTAGACGACAAAGCCAAAGGAGAGTACCAGTTCACCACAAGCTGCCACAAGCTGACCGGTGAACTTTAATCCACGACCGGGAAGTATGTAGTGCCTGTTTTACATTATCAATTTATTCAGGGTCAGTCGACCTCGCATCACGCAGCAAATTCTGCAGTGACCTTGTGGAGTTCAATAAGTCAACCACCGAGTCTGTCAGATGTACAAAGCTGTTACTGTAGCGAGCGCCAGGTCATCAACACCCGGAGTGTGTAGTAATGCTATCTGTAGCGCACTGAAAATGTCACCCTTTTCGGTGCTGCTCCATAAACAACTACAAGGACCCGATAACCCGAACAATTAAACTACTGTTCGCCATCAACCCGGGCTATTTAGACTGATTATCTACTCGCACGCATAATGAAAGCCCACACAGCCTCTGGCATCGATGAGATCTTTGAGGCGGACGACAAACATCTACACGGTCTGAGTCCGATAACTGCGGAGTGGGAAAGTTGATTTAGTAGGGTGAATAACTGGCAAAACATGAGTCCTTGCTCCGCCACGAGTTTCGGGTACATTTCCCTGAATAAAGCAGCCAAAGCACGCCATTAGAGATGGGATACATTGGAGCGTATTAGGCAAGCGGCTTTATATGCGGGTGAAAAGCAAATTAATTGGAGTCCTTTGACATTGCAAAACCGTGTACTGGGTGTCTGTGATAGTGAACGCCGTTGACCTAAGTCAGATCACAATGGGGAAGAAGAAGAAGAGGACGTCAACCAAGGACAATTCTGGTTTGGTTTTTGGGGAGTATGGTGAATACGATAACAATCTGCAAGTTAGTAGCCTGAACTACTTCTAACCGTTTTTCCTCTTGTCATCAACGAGTCGTCGGTCCCTTGTTTCCTATTTGACGAGTTTAATGTATTCTACTGTTGTGCGCCACTCTACTACTTGCTATGCAAATTCGATGATAACTGCTCAATGGGCGGGGTTGAGGTGTGAGTCCGTGAACATTGGAAAGTCTCGCGAATGCGCTTAATACAATAAGACTTCTGTTATGACCAAATTGTAGGCTTAAAATACGTGACAGGATGCAGAACATTTGCTATGCCATACCATGAACGCTAAGAAACGTCAGCCGGACGTCGGATTCGTGTGCAGTTATGCAACTACTAGAGGCGTGGATTAATCGATATTTTACTGACCCCCAAGGGAACGGTACGCACACAAAATAGCCAGCTATATTAAAAATTCTGGGAAGGCAGCCGCAACGATTTCGAATAAAATTTTTGTCTACATGAATTTCTATGTCCGATATTGTACTAGAAAAAATGCTTGACCCTTAGAGTGGGATTATAAAGCACACATATGTATGTATAAAAGTTCTGTAGAAACGGCCGGCGAATGCCTTTGTACCATTGTATATATACATATATGCCAAAGGTACTGTACCGTACTCTCGAAATGGGTACCAAATAAAAGCACGTGTTTCTTCGATATCTCTGCTGTTGAATGACGTGCCAGTGGATCCCCCATCGTCCTCTATACGGTTTCTGGTATATGAACTCCAGAGAATAATTAAGTTAATAACTTCAGAAATTATAAAGTGTAGGACATGAAGTTAAGTGTCCGGGACACTTTCTGGATCAGACCCGAAATTTCAATGAGCATACAAACTCGCGACCTGTTGGTTAGAGGGTCGCGAATTCGAGCCTCGGGGTTTGCATACCTCAGGGCGCAGCGGGACGAGGAAGTTCCGCAATGCGATCGGTGCACGCCCCCTCCAACCTTTGGACAACACAGCTGATCGCAACCGACAGGACGAGCCCGTGGCTGATGACGGTTAAAAAATCGGAAAGTGTCATTTCAGTCTCCCTTGTCTTTGTCGGTAACGATATTCTGCCTACATACATGCATGTTTTACTGAACTCGTAACATAAGTATTAGAACCGACTAGGGCTTATTTTACAAGCACTCAGCAAGATGCCGTTTTGATCAATAACTTGTAAATTCACATATAAAAACAACGAAATATAGTGATCGCCTTGCAAGCACACAATCGTCTATGGCGACGATGCAGCCTAGTCTGAGAAAGTAACCAAAATAGGGCCCATTTTAACCATATAATTTTATAGAAGCCACCAATTCTCCCGTGGCTCCGAAAACGAATAGCGCCTTCGAAAACGAACATCGTGCGCTGTTCGCGCATGACGAACCAAACGATATAACATCTTACTTTCAATCCGATAATGCGATATATTTTGGAGAGACTGGAATTTAGTGTACCTTGACCAACATTTCGGCAGTCGATGACAATGAGGATGCAGCCAAGCTTGTGCCTCGAGGCACTGAAGACAACAGATCTACAGACAAAGGCACAGTTGCACATCGGTTTAGGGCTAAACGGCCAACCCGGTAAACCTGGTGTCTAGAGGGTCCTGGAAGGTCGGTAGCCTTTGCGAACTCTATGCTGCATATTTTAGAGGATACAATCAGGAAGAACGTTTGCATGTGTGTCTAGGTTTTCGATATTCATCGAAGTTATTTCCTGTTCGTTCTACTCGGGTTAAGATCGAGGTTTGCGAAAAACTAGCACAAAAGAGGTAGTCTTAAAAAAGAGGAATTTTAAAAATGCCTAAAGTTGGCATGGATACAACGGATTTCGCTGGTGTAGTCAACATTTGTGCCAATAGACACGCTTGAAAAAGAACATTGTCGCCCACTAATGGGATAGCTACCATGAACCAAATATACTTTTCTTATATACACTAGTGTATTGAAAGAGTCATGTCTAAATGGTTATTTGGCTAACGCTCGAACAACGTTTTCGGAGATTAGATGACAGGCTGAGAAAAACAAAGTTTGCGAAATATCAGGAAACCTAACGAATAAAGACAAGCATAAAATGGGCCATATGGCTGAATGCTCAGAAGTACGACAAAATAAGAGATCGAATTAACAGAATGCAGTGCGGCAACAAGAGAACACGAAGTATATATTTTATACTGTGGAATCGCATTTGTGCAGGATTCAACCGTTTTGGCATGATTTACCGGAGGTGAAACCACTTGAAACCAAACCTTGCTAAAGTGGAAAGCTTAACACTTAGACGTGAAGCTAGAGTAGGAATGTGAGCATTACAAGAACTGAACTACCTTTAGACAAAAATGCGATAGACTTCGGTGGAAACTTAGTGAATCTAAAATACGGAGGCTCTAAGCTGACTTAAATTACTGTAATGCAGCACCCTGGGAACAACTACTTAATGTCCGCCCCGTAAATGTTCAGTCCAGCGGGCACCAAATCGCCGGTATAGATGACGTCGGCCAACGCGATGTTGCATACGAAATGATAACAGACACGCGATCTGGTTGGCAATGTCCGAATCTTTGTGGTCACATGTCAAAAAACAAAAACGCAGCACGACAAAAATGTCTAAGCGCTCACACCCTTCTGCTAGGCCACTTATTTCGTGGGCGGGACGAAACGATCTGACTAGGGGGACAAGCAGGAGCTCACGTGCGTTTAATTTCTAAATGCATGGATTCCGAATTCACGAGCGTATTGTCGGCGGTTCCGAGGAAAGTCTGTAGCTACAACGTTTAGAAACCAGATCTAGCATGGTAGACAACTCAAAGAAAGATGTGCATAAGAGAAAAACGAAAAACGCACCCTAATCTTCTCTGCAATCGTGCTCCAGTCACTTTGTGTGTGGCCGGCGTTATTTGAAGTGCGGCGACTTTCCTCCCTGTTGCGTTCTCGCATCGATGAAATACCACGAAACCAGAGAGGGGCGATCCGCTTGCATCTGGAAACAATAATCCTCACAAACAGAGCTTCGCTTATGGTACTGGTACGTGGAGCGGAGGGTGTACTTGGCAAAGAAAGTCCGTTTGCTGACTGCGCCTGTAAAGACTGCTGTTCAATCGGAGCTGGGCTCACTGTAGGTATCGAACTCCGAAGGGATTGGTCGCTAAGGCACTGGTGGCGCAACGCAGACTCCGAGGAATTGGACGCTGATGACACAGTTACCGGGATGTTGGAGGACACGGGGATTTCATTAAAGCAGTACTCAGTTTTTGGAATCGATATATTATCCATAGTTCGGTAATCAGCATTGCTGGCGCTGGAAGATGATATGGCCAGAGGCATTTGAGACGCCATCTGAGAATTCTCCGGAATATAACTCTGTAAAACTGGCGGGGATTGCGAAAGAACAGAGGCGGGTGCAGTGATTTTGCTTGAAAATTTCAAAGGTGACTCGGGTTTAATATGGGCAGTGTTAGCATCTTTGAGAAAATCTGGGTAAACAGACGTCACTATTGAAGAGGGGCATGCGACCTTCGAATTCACTGGAGCTACCGTATTAGAATAGATGCTATAATCTACCTAAAATGTTGGTTATCTGACACAAAATCAAGGATGTACTTGGTGTGCAGCACCATTTGCGACTAAAGATCCGGGAGGCGCATAGACAATGGTCGGAATGAAGGAAATTTGTTTATCTTGTTCGTCTTCGGCATAAATAAAATTCATCAGGATGGACTAAGCCTCTAACGGCATGGCAGGCCTAGAAAAGTTGTGAAAGTTGTTACAAAAATGACAAACTTCGTGCCGATCCGCTGTCAACAGCAAACTCGAAACATGCCTGAAGAGCGCGCACGGATCTGTCCGGAGGATCAGTTCAATTGCTGCTTAGGGAGAATTAATGATAAAGGGATCAGAGTTATGAAAGGCATGAAACTCTGGACCTCGAGGCCCATATTCATGCTTACAGAGCCGCATACAGTAAGCAACGCTTCTTTTACGAACCATCGAAAGTGAAATACTTGAACTGAGGGCTCGAAAGCCCGATGTATTTGTAAGGAGGGACAGTAGTCTCCTGAGTCTGTAATTGGAAGATTCTGGATCTGTCAGTTTACAGCCAAACTCCAATTTTCTCCGACACTGCGACTGCCTTCTATAGCCACTTGTAGGGTGGCCGACTCAGGTTAAGTGTAAATCATCTGCCAGGTATAGGAAAATCGGTGGGTTGTGGGGGGCATTGCGTAAGGTAATACGTGACAAAATAACACCGCAGGCAATGAATCATACAGGGAGTTTAGAGGACCCAGAAACCGAACACAAAAAGTCGAAACCCACGAAAAAAGCAGAAAATTTTATTGCAAATGAAATATTTGACGGGGACTGAAACAATTTTTTAAACGTTCCAGATCATTTTAAAGGACTCCGTAACCTAATCACGCAGATATTTAAACACTACAGCATTAAAAAGTTGGTTTTTGTGGCACAAACACGAGGACGGAAAGAAACACCAATACGCTGCAATCGTGTTCGAAGGTGAATGTTTACACTTTGTGCTTACTGCCCGAGGCACATGTGAAATCAACCGACACAGTGGGTCCTCTAGTTTTTTCCTACTTTGGTCACTACGACCACCTGTAGCAGTCAACGCGAATGTTTTTCTTTAGATCGAAAAGAAATGGAATTTGAAAAGGGAGAGGCGGAAGAATGCACGTAATATGTTGTCTTCTTTTCTTTTTTTTCTTTAGTGAAAGTATGGATTCACCTTCAACGCAAATGTCCTAGACGGTCAATATAACAAAACCGAGCTTTACACAGTAATTCCTCTTACTTCTGTACGGCGTTCGTCCACACAGCATCTTTGTGCTTTAATCGGGCTTTTTTCCCTTCAAACTAATGTGTGTTACGTTGTTACTGTTGCGCAAGTCTGTAGTCTAGAACATTTATTCTCATTTTGATCTATTGTTTGTGGGACTGATCGAGTATGAAGCGGATATTTGCTCCTCAGAAGAGCTGAATGGTACGCCGATGGATGCGAAGTCTGGCAAAATGCCTGATGAATAGGGTTCAGTCTTTGGTTCTAGACATGTAGGGAAAGCGACGGCTACACTGGTGGCGGCTCAACGTTCGAACTCACAGATGCCGCATTACACTAAGGCGACGGACTTGTCAGAATTTGCAGTGCACATCCTTCCTTAGAACTAGAATTTGCATTTGGATCTTGGCTCTGAAGACGATGGTCTATCTCAAGAAAGTACTCCACACAGAGAGTTTGCAGGAACGCCTCAAATCACGTAGGCCCTAATAATTGTATAAGTCGCTGAACAAGCGGTTTGTGGCTTTGCCGCGCATAGCATTTGTTATATAATCTTATAAACCATTTCCGTACTAAATATAAATGACTGGATAATTTTAGGTGGCTTGTCTGGCACAAAGTCCGAATTCAGCAAAAAGGATGGAGCATGCAAAATATTCCCCCGTACACATGCCACTTTTCCATCCACGACGGTCAACATTTTTCAGGATGCCGTTTTCTCCTGAATGACCTCTATTATCCGAAATTCAGCTTAGTCGGGGTAACGACCCAGGAGTTTTTCGATAGCCTTCTTAATGGACGTTGCATATTTATCTTGATAATGCTTCGAAAGTGGCATTCAATTCAAGTAATATTGTTTTTCTCTTCCAGCGTGGAGATTTCTAAGCGGTGATCACTTATGCCGAACGCTGACAACCGTTCATTAGGAGTTAGTACAACCGCATTCACAAATTTATCTTATTCTAGTGGCTTCATTTGTCTCTTCATTGATATCGGTAAGGCGGTATGACAAGATCTTCTGAGTGCACAATAATGGTCGTTCCAGTTTCGTTAATTTTGGGGAAATGTAGGTTCGCATCTTTGAACTCCTGTCTGTTACAAGCAGTGGGAAAGTATCGAAAAATCGGATAAGGTAATATCGAATAGACAAAAAGGGAATACCAAAAACCTTACAGACAAAGTATTTATTTCAGCGTTCAGCATGGCTGACGGACAGATATATACATTAGTTAACGCACAGCACAGCATGCTGCAGAAAAGTGGTATAACGCTAATGGTCTTCGAGCACCTACTTGGGTTTCATTAAATATGTACAGAGTTACGACTAACAATAAAACCTCATAAATAGAAGCTACTCATATATGTACGGTAGTGTTGGCGCAGTGAGGTGTTTATACCTAATGATTCTAGATGACGTCGGACGGCTGTAATTGTCATACATTATTCTAAACTGGTTCATTTTCATTTATGAGAAGAAATGGCAACTGATAGTATCGTATGCAGTGCTACCCATCCCTTTTTCGACTGTCATCATTTCATGGGCAACGGTTTTTTTTCTCCTGAGCCGTCCAAGCTATACAAAACCACCATCTTCTTTATTTCTTTATGGGGAGTTTTTTTCACTATTAGTCGGATTTGTGCTTAATCTTTCTGTGACAATGCCTGCAAACTGGCATTAAATACACTTTCTGTTATTATTACTACTACTTTTTATGTTGCTGCAAAAACTTCGGCAGCTATCGATCTATTATTTTGTTCAGAATTCTACAGCGCATCTGGCGAGGCTGATTGGGCTATATTCTTATGCAGGAAACTTGGTGACGCCTTCATGTGGCGGTGTAATCCGTGCAGATTTTCAATAAACAGGCAAACAGTCGACTTTGAATGAGTCTACGAAGCACATGGAGAGCGGTTTGACTCGTTTCCCAGCGTAAATATTTACCGATCACTACGTACGGATATCGCAGATTCAGAAATATCACTTAGAGGATATCAGCAATTCAGGAGAGATAGACTAAGCCGAGGAGGAGGAGTCATAATTTATGTCACTTGCAAGCTAAGCGCTATGGCTGATGTACACAGACCGGTACGGGATGTGGAACTGCTAAGCGTTACCATATCTACTAAGAATGTCCGATCATTGACGCTTTCGGTAGTGTACCGTTCACCTAACCATACTTCTGACCAAGATCTCATGCTCATATCCGAACTGTACCAAGCTAGCGAGAAGAAAGACGTCCTTATCGTTGGGGATTTTAACGCTCCTGGCATTGATTGGCTAACGTGGACTGCACAAGGGCCGCAAGACAGCTTTAATCACAAACTACTACAATGGGCAACGGACAAACTTCTCTGCCAGAATGTTACGTTTGGAACACGGGTCAGGGAAGGGCAGCAGTCGGACTGCCTTGATCTTATTTTTACCCGAGAGGAGGAAAACGTGTTAGACCTGCAGGACCGACAGCCATTAGGGTCAAGCGACCACATCACGCTCTACTTCGAGTACTCACTGTCTTACAAACTCGCCCGACCCGAGAGGTGGGAGAGAAACATTTGGAAAGGTGACTATTCTCTCATGAGGAGGGAAGCGGCAGCTATATCATGGGAGACTGAACTGCATGGTCGAGCAAACGATAACTGGAATACTTTCACTTCCTTACTGAAAGAGATTGTTTATTCCAATTGTCCTCTTAGAAGGAAGACAATCACAAACCGCCCAAAATGGATAAACCCGGACTTGAAGGCCTCTTTCAGAAAAAGGAATCGTCTGTGGAGGTGTTACAGACTAACTGGCTCCGACGAACACTTACAGGAATATAAGCGGCAACGAAACGTCTGTAAAAGTGAGGCCTCAAAGCTGCGAAAGAAGTTTGAACTGAACGTACTCCGAAATTCGTTGGTGCATCCGAAAATTCTATATGGTTATATACGAAGTACTAAAAGGACTCAGGAGCTAATCCCTGCCCTCAGGTCTGCAGATGGCAAAGTGGAGATTGATGACCAGGTTAAAGCGTCCCTCCTTTCCGACTTCTTTCAGTCCGTC